ATTATGAGAGGAATAAACTTGCTCTGGCTGTGTTTTAGGCCATTTATTCACCACTCCTCAAATGGTTAAGAATGTGTATAGCTGAACCTCTTCTCCTCATACATCTTCATATTGTAGTGCTTAAACAGAGGGACAACTTTAGATGTTTAATAATTACCAAATGCTGATTTCATTACAGCTTGCAACATCATTGAAAGATAAAGCATTAACCAGGCTTTCCAAGCAGCCAAGCATTTCCACACGTGTCAGTGAGTTTCGTATGAAGTTTCCAGCATGGGATGTTATTGTACCACAGTTACTACTGAAGTTAGGAGATAAGAAAGCAAAGAAAAAGAAGGAAAATAAATCAAAAACATGTGAAGATAAAGAGAAAGATGTGGTAAAATCCTATAAAGAGGATCAGGCTGAGCTTGTGAAAAGTTGTACCATTGATGATATTTCTGAGAAAAATCAAGCTGTAACTTCCTTAAATCCTATTACAATTCACAGTCAAGATAGACAACAAAAAATCCCTCTTACTTCAGAGAAAAAACCAAAGAACCTAAGTGAAGAACTAAGTAGAGAAAGTGTCCGTGCAGAAATAGATGATGCAGGAATCAGAAATGAAATGAAAATTGGAGAGAATAGTTTAGCAGAAGTAAAGAGGTTTACTGAACATTTAAAATCAGAAAATAACATTGAAAATAATAACCTGGATCTTGTAAATCCTACACCTGTTTCCCCAAGTGCCACAATAGTAGATCCATTCTTTGTATGTGAAGATGGTAAAACTGCATACTTAACAAGTGTAAAAGGAAATTCAGGATTTAATGAAGGGTCTGATATTTATAAGAAAGAAAATCTATCAAAACAACCAACATGGATTAAGAATGATGAAAAGAGGTTCTTTCAAGCAGAGAGAAGGAAAAATTTGCTGGTACAAAAGCCCAAAATGCCAAACTTCAGGACATTCCAGCAGCGACCACCAGCATATAATTCTGAAAATAGAACTAAGCAATCATCATATCTGAAGCAGAAAATTAATATAGTTCATAATGAAAAGAATCACAGCCAAACAACAGGTAATTAGCCAGTAAAGTATGTCACTATCAGAGTTTTCTAGTGTAAGATTTTTAAATCTGAGAACATGAGAAATATGTTCTGCTTCATAAATTAATGTACATACTACACATTTTTAAATCTGAGAACATGAGAAATACGTTCTGCTTCATAAATTAATATACATACTACATGACAGATATTAATGGAATTGAGAACATATGTGTATTTTCATTAATACTTATGTGACTTCTGGCCAGAAACTGCTAATATTAAACATTCACACTAGTTCAAAATTTCTGATGATGACAGCCTTTTCAGATATTGTGTCACGTAGTCATATAGAAGACGAATGTTCCAGGGGTGTTTACTGCCTCCGTTATCAGGGCAGTCACATTATCTGAATTAAATACTGAAGTACTGCAATAGTGACTAACTTAGTTTGAAATATTTACATGTTTTAATATTTATAATGTAATTGTTTTGAACAGATTTATGGAAGCAAGCACATTTTCTGTTGCAGATAATACTAGTCCAATTCATCCATCATGGGAAGCAAAGAAAAAGTTGAAGGAACAACAGTGTGCTGTGTTTGCATTCCAAGGCAAAAAGATAAAGTTTGATGATTAATTAATGAAAAATTAATGTCAAGAATGTATATGTTGTGTCTATTTTAAACCAATAAAACAGCTTAGTGATACATGGTTAACTTTTGTGCCACATAAGCACATATCATAACTGTTGCATACTGTACAGTATTATCATGGCAATGGAGTCTTTATGATTATGGGTTTAATGTGAAGACTTTCTCCTCTTTTTGGGTTCTTGAAGATCACTGGATTAAAATGGATGATACTTCAATCTGGCTAGCTGGAGGGTCCTATTCTGTCTCAGGGTTAATGTGACTATGAGGAACAGTCAACATCTGAGTAGCGATGATAAAATTCAGGAAACAATTTATGTGAAATAGCAGAACTAATAAATTCATAACCTTGTCACCAAGACATGCTCTTATGAAGTTGATAGAAATTTTATTCTCTACTGTTCTGGATTCACATATGCATATCAGAATGTCCTCAGTGTATATGAGATGTGATAAATTTTCCATACATCATTATAAATGTGAAGGAATGTTTTGATAATATCATGGATCAGAATTATCTCAAAATACCATGTTTAAATTGGTGTGGCAGATTTTGATACAATAATGTGACTGTTATACATCCAAAATGAAGTTAAGTAAATATACAAAGAAGATTTCCCATTAGAACACAAGGTCCCCTGACATTAGAAGCTTTCACACATTGAAAAATTCTTTTGTATGGAATTCATCAAACCTCTGTCTGCAGGCAGAGTGGAGTTTAAAAGTCAGGGTCCTATGGATATCCGTTATTGGACAAGTAAAACTGGATCCACCGATTATGGCCCCTGACCTTGTATCCAGTATGCGGACCACTCAATGAAACAAGGAAGGAAAGAGTTTCCGTTGGTCAGTACAGTCTGTGTCAGTGCAGCAGTGTGGAAGCTTGATATTGTCTTGTGTCTGTGATGTGTTAACAACATGACACCTGTTCATTGCAGTCACCTTTCTGGTCATTGATAACATCTCGCATCACAACACTTGGACAGACAAACCACCGATGTTTTACTCAAAGTAGGACAAAATGAAAGCCTGGCTATTGGAAAGAAACATCCAATGTTGTGACATGTTGAAAGCTCAAGTGTATGACTTAATCAAATTAAATAAGTCAAAGCACAAATATTGTGTGATTCATCAGATTTTAGGAGACAAAGAACCTACTGTGCTGAGACTTCCACCATACCATCTTAAGTTAAATCTTACTGAACTTATTTGGGCAGATGTAAAACAATGGGTTGCAAGCAAGAACACAACATTTAAAACTAAGGACGTCGAACATCTGTGTCGTCAGAGATTCGAAGAAATTGGGCAACAGGAATGGGATAATGTATGTCAGCATGTGGAAAAACTAGAACAAATTTATTATGAGCAAGAAGGCATAATCAAAGACTCTATTGAACGTATCATAATTGAAGATAATGAAGTGCATAGCAGCAGTGGTACTGATGAATCGAGTGATATGTCAGAAAGCGAAGTCTGTGAGGAGTGGAAGAATTGGAAGAGGACCGAAGAGTTGTGAAGAAGGTAAAATTATCTAATACTCTTTGCAGTGTTAACTTTCTAGTGATGAGTAGTGTAGTGAAATCGACTTTACTGTGTTACATAACGTGGTGATATTTTATTTGGAGTGTACTGTATGCAGCCTGCTGCCATCACTTCCAGCAAACTTCTGGTAACTGACTCGCTCCAAGGTTCCAATTCAGAAAAGTTCAGCAGCCAAAAACGATGGAACGCAGTATACGTAACGCTCGGTTAATTTTGGCAACTTTGATATACGTTAGATTACATTACGACAGGTTGGGTTAGGTTAGTTTGTTAGATTAAGTAACGTTTTCAAAATCTTTGTCGCGTTTCGACACACTTACTATATGTTATATACTGCACGATGTTCTAATGTATACACTTTACTTATCTACATCTTTATTCATGATGTGAATTTGTTATAATCAATCATTTGGAACGTTACATTAATGATTCATGGCAGCCTTATTTTGTGACAGTAATGTTGCTGTTAATTCGCCTTTTTGTAATTACTTGCTCAACTTAATATATTGTAGGAAAGATCCTTCACCAACATCACGAAGTGTAACATTAGTTTATAATATATTTACATCAGAACGTTAATATACTAAAATATATGAACTTTGGTTGTGAGCAGAGAGTACATGTAGCTAGAGAGTGTTAAATGCACAGATCACTTGAAAGGACGGAGTTCCGCTGAATCGCTACTTAGGTGTAATCTGTGATTAATATGATAGCAGTTCAGTGTGTTGGTTTCAAACGTAATTCGTAGACATTGTATTTATTTAATTTTGTTAGTTTTTATTGTACTACCATAAAAGTATTCTGAAGTTATAAAGAATGACAGAAGGACAAGTGTTGTTTGTACGGGGCGGCAAGTCAAATGTATGTTAACAGTGCAGTATAACCTATACAGGCCTGCAAAATGCTGTATAATTATAACAATGTGTTCTTTCAGTAGTAGATTATTTCATATTAGTGTGTTAAGGGGTTTGTAGAGCATGGTTGTAGTAGATTATTTCATATTAGTGTGTGTTAAGGGGTTTGTAGAGCATGGCTCTCTAGTTCATTTGTGTCTAATATGTTTTTCAGGTTTTAGAAATAAGTGCTATATGAAATGTATGATTATTTAGTTTGAAGGCGAGGATGGTGACTCCACGACAGCAGAGGAAGATATCTGGGATGACACAGCTTTAGTACAGGCATATGACCGTGCTGTATCTTTGGCAAAGGAGGAAGTTGTGCGTCGTATGGGACTTGACAAGGAAAGCATATCTGGAAATGAGAGCAATGCATCCAACAGACCTAGAAGGCGGAAGAAGAAGCACAACAAAGAGGTGAACTATTAGTTGGTGAACTTCTTTAACATAATATAATTGACTCTTTGATATTGTAGTAAATTAGTCAAATTATACATTTATTAATATTATATAAGTTTTGTATATTATGTACCAAATTTAAATTAATTTTATTAATCTGAGTTACAGTGCTGAGTACAGAAATATCATAAAAATGTTAAATAGTATTTGAAATACTTGTATAATGGTTTTTTGTATTCAGTAGATGACTTTATTCAGAACCTTTTTTTGGTTAGCTGCACTTCAGAAGAAAAATTATGCCTCAGTTAGTATGTAAGTTCTAAGAACAAATATGAACCAAAGTAAAATTTATCCAACAAATTTCAGTGTAAATTTCCATGACTGCAGTAACAGTGATGATATATTTTAATGAAACAGTAAGTTTTTCATTTGCAGTGGCCGTTACAGTGGCAGGTTGGCACTCCTTGCCGTGCAGTATACAGTGGAGATGGCAGTATTTATGAAGCTACAATAGATGCCTTGTTCCATAATAAAGGGACTTGTCGTGTCAAATACATTGGTAAGTGGAAAGTATAAGTTCATGCTCAGATTGAAATGCGGGCTGTGGGCAGGTATATATGTGAGGCAACCTGGATGCACAGTTTCATTACATCCTTGGATGTGTATATTAGTGAGTAATTGCAGGTTATGGTAATGAGGAGGAGGTGCCATTGAAAATGCTTCAGCCATCTCTAGGACAAGCTGCACGGAAGCTTCAAGAGGCAGCAGCAGCTGCACAAGTATTGGAGGAACAACTGGTAAGATTGATGGTTTATGTTTCTTATTTGATAGGTTGTGCAAGCTTCTGCACCTCTCCAGCCCTTTCTATCCCTCCTGTGTGTAACTTTTTCCATTTCAATGAACATAAAATCAATGTAAAATATTGGTAATATGTTATAATTTAAGAAGAGAATAATTACTTGGGATATCCAGGTGCAAAATGGCTTTGAGATGGAATGTAGTGATGGGGAGTCTACAAAGGGATCACATTTCAAACCAAAGTTTGGAGCAGTTCCCAAGTCACCTCAAGGCAGCAGAATGGAATGGAAATCTCAAACAGTACGACCTCCAGGTCCTGCCTTCTTTCCTCCTCAATTTAGGCCTCTTCATATGCCACCAATGGTAAGTAGAGACATCTTTACAGATACAATTTTTAATTATTACTGTAAGCTATAGTGGTTTTATGTAATTTCTATTGTACTGTTATATTTTTTAATAATATCACAATTAGGAAATATAACATTGCCAAATTTGACACACAGAATTAGAAGTGAATGCCTGCACTCAAAATTTTTGTGGCATTAGTAAAAAATTTGACACACAGAATTAGAAGTGAATGACTGCACTCAATTTGTTTTTGGAATTAGTAAAAGAACTTATTTTGTGTGGAGTTGTATACATTTATAGTGTAGAGAATATTACTAGTGTATTTTATGGATCCCTATAACTTTCTTGCAAACCTTTTCTGTCAGGTAAATATTTGAGAGGAAACCAAAAATGAATTTAGACCCTAAAATAATGTGGGTCTCAAAACAAATTAAAGTAAATAAAGCTCTTATTAGTGCTGTATATTGAGTTTAATGGGTGTTTATTTAAGATATGTGTTAACAAGGTTGCAGTAACCCTTACAATTAATTGAAGAAAATGAAACATATATATGGTAAATTTGTTCTTTGAGTAGATTTTATGACACCTGCAGAAAAATTCATAACTCTTATTAGTAGCACAGTAGTCAGTTCAGGTTTCTCTGAAGGTATTAGAAATGGCAACATATTTAATTCTGCAAGAAGGAACGGCTTTGATGAATATGTCATGTTATGAATAGTTGTGTTAGAAATTGTGGATGATTGAAGGAAGCCTTACTTTTTAAAATAGTGTACTTTTCATCAAATAGTATATTATTTTGAGAGATTTTTATGACTGTCACTAAAATCCAGAATCCTTATTAATGGTACAATAATCAATAAAACTGCAAAATAAAAGTGTTAAACTTGTTGTAGGGTCTACCTCCAATGGTAGTTCCACCTCCTCCTCCACCCCATTTGACAGGCAGTTTTCCAGAGGAGGATGCAGAGGCTCTGTCTGCAATGCTGATGTCATGGTACATGAGTGGTTTTCATACAGGTGAGAAAATTTTTGAATTAAGTGTAGCTAAACTTGCATATAGGCAAGTGTACAGTAATAATGAATTTTGGACTTGGTCGTGTGGGAAGGACAGTATTTCTCGAGATCGACGTACCTCATTATACATGAACATTTTGTAGCAATATCATGTTCTAAGACTTTACTGTGAAGCCTTTACAAGTCTTGTTAATATCTATAAATTGATAAAAATGTATTTCCTAGGTACTACAGAACATTGGACAATGTAACTAGAATTTGTTGAGTTGCTACTGTGGTGCGTAAAGTTAGTTTATATGTTGACACATACTGAACAAAATGTCATACCAGTAATAAAATGTTGTTGCTATATGCAAACACTTTAACATTGTTCAAAAGAAACATAATAGGCTGCATCAAGGCAAAAAGGAGGTATTTAGATGTTGGCTGAAAGAAAACTTTCATATATCTGTTAAATGTTTCATAAAAATGTAATTCAGTTTACCCCTTTGAAGCCGGTACTTGTGGGTTATCGGGACACATTGCTTTAAAAATAGGTTAGGTTAATGTGTGTGGATAAATGACATTTACTTGAAAGTTGTATTTTATTTCAATAAATGATAAATTATTATATATTATTTGGATATGTATGAGATGTTAATAGTTGTTACTACCTGTCTCCGGAGGCCAAAAACAGCAATAAATAACTGAACGAACTAGAGATAACAACAGCTGAGTATACGGGTATACTGATATGCATGCGCAGTTTTCCGTGCCAATCTTATGTTCTATAATATTTATATTTTTATCTAATCAATATTATCACTATATACAGATTATTATAAACAAAGCAAATCAAATTTATTCTTGAAAGAAAATGTTAATGTATAAATAGATAATACCAATATTTTTTACCTTAACCATGCTTGAACAGTAAATTGTAATAGTACATTATACCACATGTCCTGTTCGCAGTAGGTCTTGAGCTTTTAAGTGATGACCGTATGTTTCTTACAACTTGTGATTACTCTGTATTTTATATTTGTTATTTTGTAGGTTATTATCAAGGTTTGAAGCAAGCAAAGAAATTCTCTCCTACTGGTGGTAATTTCAGCAGAAGTTCTTCCAGAAAAAAGTGAAATAATTAATATTCTTCATGGTAAATTTTGTTTATTTTGTTCTTATGTCCTACTACACTTAATCTGAAATAGGTGTAAAGGTTTTTAACACAAGATGTATGGTATGTGTTATGATTCAAACTAAATTGATATTTCAAAATAAATTGATATACCACACTTGAGAAATTCCACAAAACTGAGTTTTCCAAAGGCAATTAAGTAATGTTACAGAACAAGACTGATGTATTTTCTCACAGAGGTGTTTAAATGTTTGTGGTTTAAATAATAAAGAACATAAATGTAATTAATTTTACATATGAAGTTTCACATCTTAGTTTATTTTTCCAGAAATGGCCAGTAATTTAAATACATTTGAATGAAGCATTGCATAAAGGCTACATACTCTTTTGTTGTGAAGGATTAGCAAACTTAAAACATGAACACAAATTTCAAATTTGGAAGCATACATGCAGTCTAAAATATAAAATCATGCATACAAACAAAACTGTTTACACGTTAAAAACACTTTGTATATGCATGATTTTATATTTTAGATAAAGTATTCAACATTGCACAGTATGCAATATTTTAAGATACATGCAGTGTTTGAAATTTTTAGTTCAGCCAAGTTATTTAAAAAATAATAAAAAGTAGTTGTATATATTTTTTAGGTAAGATTTGCTCATAATGCAGTGAAGCTTTAATTTTATGATGGCCAGTGTGTTTTTTGTGTTTGTATTAATACATTTTTATTCCATCCCATTGAAATTCCTTTAAGCATGGCCTGTAATTTCCATTGAGTTTATTTGTGTCATTACATTCTACATACACAGTATTGTGTTGTGATTAAACATCATATATTGATCAGTATTGCCAGTTTAGTTTTGGAATTTAATGTTAAGAGAAATTCTATTAAAAATTTATTGAAGTATCAGTTCACATTGTTGACATTGAAAAACAATTTTATTGTAATGTATTGATTGGTAACGTTTTCTTTTCTTTAATGCCCTCTTACAAATGTAGTAGATGCGTAATATAGTTTTCTGCATTCTGTTTAAGATTCAAACACTTTTATTATATATTTTCACTAGCCTTTCTTTATGCAACAGCAAACACATTGCAGTAAACATTCCATCCCTCTCTTCAAGTTTGTGCAGGAGGGTAGAAAAAATCTTCATCCATGAAGAAGATTGAAGACATGGAAGAGGAATGATTTGTACATGGTTTGGGCAAGACCATATAAAAAGTCAGATGAATTTCATACTGTCCCAGTTTCAAAATGTGAGTTGTTGATTTGTTATCTTGGTTTCGAATCCTTTCTATTTTTAATTATTGAATGTGTTACTGTGGGTACTAAAATATTAAAAAGTTGAAAATACAGGAGGGAAAATCAGTCGGTGATGAAGAACACATTACCCACAAACTATAATACTGATATAAGAAGTAAGGAAAAATATAGGTAGCTATAATGGAATGATTAGTTTTAAAGTGTGGGGCATGTGTGGAGGTTTTGAGACCTACATCTATTATATGCAGATATGGAGGATAGTTACAGATGTAATGAAAAAAACAGTTGCAATTAAAATGACAAGGGGTGGTGGTCAAGCTTGGTGGTTGGGCTTGGGCTAACAGCACCTGATCATGAAAGATTACCATGTTACAGAATGTTACATAGGGTCCCTGATTCATATGAGAAAGGCATTGACAAAACATTTATTATGATATAAATTTGTCAGTCCTTTGGATAACCATAATCATACTTATGTATACAAAATTTTTATTACTAATATTAAAATGTAGTACAATAGTAGCAACTTGTTGTATAACACAAGTGTTAAACTGGTTTAATTTGCAGTTTCATAGTATGTATCTAGAATGAATACTGTCATTCATTAGTCATCCCTTCATTTTTTGGGTGAATATTATCAAAATAGATAAATATGAGTACCAACTTCACACAGGACAAAATCACATTTGATTGAAATATTTTAAGTGGAGCCAAATGCACATTGCCACTTCTGGTAACGTGCTGCAAGATGGAGAGCCGAGGGTTTTGTGCTTTTCAGAGCATTTTGTAGATCTTCAGTAGTAATGATTTTCAGCTTCAAATTTGGCAGATTTTCATCTACAGAAATTAAGAATGAAGCATGAATACATGTAACATTTCTATTCTAACAGAATTCTTGTGACATTTGCTGATTTATTTACATATTATCACTATCATTATTTTTTCAAAGTTAGCTTTAACACATTTTAATAACATTCCAAATGACTGTGAATCATCCTTTGACATGCCATGAAGACAGAGGACTGACTTAACACTGAATATTACATTCATTTAAATATGAACTTGGGTCACTGAAAGTTGTGAATGAACGTACTTACCATTTTGGCATGTTTCGAGAACAGAGAAAGCTTCCCGCATTGCATTCATGGCTGCTTCCTTACAAACCAACCTGATATCTGAACCTGAATAGCCAGCTGATGCCTGTACAATGATAGCATTGATCTCAAACAGTGGACATAAAAGTGAAATGGCAATTTGGTCTCATACAGACCTGTGCAAAAGGTAGTTTTGGCTCAACTTTCTATTTGAATGTTTTTTGGACCTTTTTAGATAGTTGTATGACTGTCCATTTCAAAACTTTGTTTAAAGCAGTCTGTCATCAGTTTATCTTGGACATGCATATGTCCCGTTACCTGTTATCCACTTATAAAAGAGGAACGTGACATTTTGATTGATTCTCGGCTCATTTAATGATACTTCCATCTGCATAGGTTGTATGGCATTAAATGGCAGAATGTGAATAATGAAGGCATGGGAAAGTAATTATTGTGGTCTGTTTTAAGGTGCTATCTCAGAATTTACCTGGAGGAACAACATTTGGTATACAACTTTTTGTCAAGTATATTAGGATGGTGAAATCTAGGAAGCTC